CCCCGCCCCACTCCGGCCGCTGCCCGCATCCTGCCCGGCCTCAGCAATTAGCCATGCAGGCGGTGATGCCGCGCAGTGTGCAGGGGGAGGCGGGCAGCACGATGGATGGACAGGCGGAAAGGACGCGGCTGGGTTAATGGTGCGTGGAGCTGGGACAGAGGAGAGAGGGGTGAGAGCCAGTCAGGGCTGGTGCTGGAGAGGGCTGAGAGCAATCTGTGTGTGCACCCCCCCTCCCCCCCCCGAAATCTAAGTGTTTTCAGTGTTGGGGTTCACGGTTTTCCCTGAGGATTCCTTTGCTTTGGGCTGGATGGGCAGGACCACACTTGCCAGCCTAACTCCTCGCTGGACGGGTTCCTTTCTTCCCTACAGAGACAAGGATTTGGGGATGCGGTTGCTGCTGCCACCCAGGTCGGGCTGTCCCGGGTTCGTAGCTGTGCCGCGGCACACGTGCTGCCCGTCCCTCTGGCCGTGGCCACAGCTGCAGCTGGATGGACGGGCAGCACGTGTGTCGCTTCAGGCACCTTTCCGAGCTGCTTTGACACCGCTGTGCACCCATGTGGGTTTGGGATTTGGGGGAGGGGAACCATTGCTTGCACCCCAGAGACTGGGGCAGGTACCTAATTAGCACACAGTTAATGAGTGGGGGAGAGTCTAGTGCCAGGGCTGCAGCTCCCAAGAGATAACTGGGGGGAGGGTGGTGGGGGGGGAGGGGCTGGCCTATTTTTTGGCCATCAGTGGTGGTTGAGGTGATGGAAGGGGTCTACAGGAGCCTGCCATGTTGGGGAGCTGGGAAGGGTCGGGACCCCCACCCCACTGCCCACCCACACTGACTGGGGGGGACCCTGCTCCTGGTGATGGGAGCGGGCAGCTTGTTCCACACCAGGGTGTTGTCCAGCCCTGTGGGGACAGGAGCAGGTGAGGATCATTTTGGGATCTGCTGAATCCTTCCTGATCACTGCCCCCCATTTCCAACTACCCCCCCCCAAAATGCCAGTTCCCCTATCACCTCCTCAAACCATCAATCCCCTCCATCAATCACATTTCCCCACTCCACACCCCCAGCTTGGCTTTCTCTGGGCTGTAATTGCCGGGGCGCCCCACGGGGCGCTTTGTGCTGGCTTCGGTGCGGAGGCGGCGAGGCCATTGTGCTCGGTGACAATGACAGCTGCCAGGCGCAGGTGCCCCCGCCAGGCTGAACGGCCCCAAGACGGATGGGGTCTTGCTGCTGCCCCCTCCTCCTCCTCCCCCTCACTGTGGCTGGGGGCTGCCAGTTGCCTGCTGCAGGTTTTGGGATTGCAGGGGCAGAGCGGGAGGGGGATGCTGCGCTGCATCCTGGCACTGGCCCCCTTAGGGTCAGGCATGGAGGGAAGGGGCAGTGGGGAAGGAGGGAGTGCCATCTCTGGGGTGCATCAAGGCATCTGAGGTGCTGGCAAACGGG